ACCACCCCAATACCCCAAAACAAAAACCCTTAGAACAGGGAACAAATAAACATACCTAAACCTCCCTAAGCATGTCCTAAGAACGAGAACTAGCAGCGGGACTCCATAGACTCTGTTACTTCCGTGTGACATAAACTTATAAACTTAACACTCACCGAGCAGACGGGGCTCCTAAATCTGCAAATCTGTCTACAATGTATAATAGGTGCAAAATAAACAGAAATATCAGGGGGCAGTAATACTCCCATATCAGCATTAAGATAAGAGAAAAATAAGTAAAAAAAAAAAAATAATAATAAAAACAATAATAATAATGATGATAATAATAATAATAATAAAATATAACATAAAAAAATTAATAATAATAACAATAATAATAAATAAATAAAAAATAAAAAAAATAAAAAAAAATAAATACATAAAAAAAAATAATAATAATTATAATAATAATAATAAATAATAAATAAAAAAAACAAAAAAAAAACAACTTAAGTAGCCCTTTGGAATTACATCTTGATCGTTATAAACGTTCAAACGTTACCGTGCACAGGGTCCAGATAAAGCCAGCATCCTCAATAAATCCACTAACCGGTGGGAGCGATGCACTCGTTGTAAAAAACCTGGGCTTTTTCTGGAGAGTCAAAATAGAAGTTCTCATTTCGGAACGAGACCTGGAGACGGGCAGGGTGCAGCAGGCGGAATTTTATTCCTTTCAGGTAGAGAGAGTTTTTGATGGTGTTGAATGCAGCCCGTTTTTTGGCCAGAGCAGCGCTGATGTCCGGATAAACTCTCAGCTCGGAGCCGCGGTAATCCATCTTGTGTTGTCTGGCCCATCGGAGGACTTTTTCCTTCTCTTGGAGGCGGAGGAATTTAATGATGAAGGCTCTCGGTTTCCCGGCACCGGTATCACCTGGTCTGGGGCCGAGGGAGCGGTGAGCTTGCTCTATCTCGGGAGGACTGTCGAAAACGTCCGGCCCCATCACCGCCATCAGCAGGTTGGAAGCAAACTTGGTCAGGTCCTGGTCTCTCTCGCTCCCCTCAGGTATGTTGATAATCCACAGGTTGGAGCGCCTGGACCGGTTCTCGAGGTCATCTACTCGTTCCAGGAGAACCGTGGCTTGGGATTGTAAGGTCTTAACAACAGCTTCCATCTCTGTGATTTTTTCGAAGTTTTCACTCACCACAACTTCAGTATTAGTAAGACGGTTGTTAAATGACGTCACCTGCTGACCCAGTGAGTCCACTGACTGCTTCAGAGATTCAGTTGACTGTTGGATCAGGATAGCCATGTCAGCTTTGAAGCTATCACGTTGTTTAGTGAAAAGAGCCTCAAGGTCGGTCCTGGTGACTGGGTCGGAGTGGCCTCCGCTGTCGGCGCTTCTGCCCCCCCGGTGTGGGAGTTCAGGTGCGGCTGCGGTGGCCATGCTGGCTAGCTTAGCTGAGATGATAGCTGCCCGAGTTGTTACTGCCGGCTGAGGGTTAGAGTTTGAGGAGCTCATAACGTCGCAATGTACCTTCTTACATAAGATTGAGTAATGCACGAGTCAGTCCAAGGAAAAGCACAGTTAAACTGGTAGACTTGAAAGGTAAATGAAAAGTTCGGCTGGAGCTCCCTTCTCTCATGTCTGCTCTCTACGTCATCAAACCGGAAGTCCTAGCTCTATTTGCATGTTTCTAAGCAATACAAGGCCTTGTCTATATAAAGACTCACGGCGGATCCAGACATTTGAATTGAGAAAGCTTCCTGGAGGTGAAGCAAAACATCTTCAAATTTTCAAGTCCAGTGGATTGTTTTTAAACCTTTACGGAATGACTATGACCTGGATGACAGGGAATCTTCATCAGTTGTATTTAACTGCAAGTTGTGCAAAAGATGAAAAAACATTGTCCGTATACAGGTCGCCAACAGACTTGAGCCCATTGTTGTGCCACAGCCGAAATGTTGTGTCCGTTTTAGAGGGTTCAAAAGTAAAATTCCTATAGATCGATGTCAAAACCGAAGGACCTCAAAGACCAAAGTGCTTTCGAATCTGATTCCAAATCCTCAGTGATATACAAACTAAGGGGCAGCCAGACAAACATGAAAGCTGAAGTGGAAGAAGAGAACATAGTGGCGAACGCAGGGAAAATGGAACAGAGTCCTGTTCAAGGTGTACCCAAGCAAGTAGGGAATCATGCTCAACTAACCAGGAAAAAAAGCTTCTGTATGTTTGCTGCCCAGTAGTAGTACCTAAACACAGGTAGGGTGAAGCCCCGCCTTTTCCTTAAGTGCTTGAAGGATTGACCGGGGGATCCTTGCAGGCTTACCATCCCACAAGAAGTCTCAGACCAGCTTGTCCAATCTGTCAAAAAACGATTTGGCTAACAAAATCGGAACATGTTGAAATAAATAAAGAAATTTGGGGAGAACTACCATCTTGACGAGATTGACGACCAACAAGAGAAAGAGGTAGCGTAGACCAGCGGACAAAATCCCTCTCTGTCTTCTCGACCAATGGAGAAAAGTTAACTGAATACAAATTACACAAAGATGTGGTAACATGGACACTCAAATATTGAAAGGCAGAACATGGCCATTTAAATAGAACTATCATATGGGGAAGAGCTATAGCAGGAACATTGATAGGCAAGAGCGCACTCTTCTGAAAATTAAGATTGTATCCCAATATAGCACCGTAACGGTTTAAAATGTCACAAATCACAGGGAATGAGTTTGCGGGGTCAGAGACATACAAAAGGAGGTCATCTGCGTACAGTGAAACCTGTTGAACCCTATTAAGACGCGTTATGCCCTTGAAACCAACCTCCGAACGTAGCAACAGATCAAGTGAATCTATTACCAGAGTGAAGAGTAGCGGGGATAGCGGGCATCCTTGCCTGGTACCGTGAAATAAAAGAAAAGGGGGAGACAATGTATTGTTAGTTTGAACAGATGCTTTTGGTGATGAGTATAAGAGCTTAATCCAATGAAGAAAGGCCTCCCCAATTCCAAACCTGGCCACCACTTCATAAAGGAAACACCATTCAACCCTGTCGAAGGCTTTCTCAGCATCAAGGGAGACCACAATCTCTGTCAGTTTAGAATCAGATGGCGCCCCAGACCGAGGGAGATTTTCCGTTATTTTGTATTTCTTCCATTTTCTAATAATTGCACCAACTGTTGTTGCCTTCTCACCAAGCTGCTTGCCTATTGTCCTGTAGCCCATCCCAGCCTTGTGCAGGTCTACAATTTTATCCCTGATGTCCTTACACAGCTCTCTGGTCTTGGGCATTGTGAAGATGCTGGAGTGTGATTGATTGAGTGTGAGGACAGGTGTCTTTTATACAGGTAACAAGTTCAAACAGGTGCAGTTAATACAGGTAATGAATGGAGAACAGGAGGGCTTCTTAAAGAAGAACTAACATGTCTGTGAGAGCCAAAATTCTTACTGGTTGATAGATGATCAAATACTTATTTCACACAATAAAATGGAAATTATTTATAAAAAAAATCATACATTGTATTTTTCTGGATTTTATTTTTAGATTCCATCACTCACAGTTAAAGAGTACCTATGATAAAAATTACAGTCTTCTACAAGCTTTGCAAGTGGGAAAACCTGAAAAATCAACAGTGTATCAAATACTTGTTCTCCCCACTGTAAATGAAAATGCGACAATCAGGTTTCAGGTTAGTTTCAGTGTCTGCTGGATTCTTAATAGACAGATGGAAATCAGAGCAGTCCTGGCTCCACTTTCTCCTCTGTTGGTTTGCAGATGATATTGCAGCACTGCCTCCCGCTGTAGGAACCGGATCTGCTCGGGTCCTGCTTCATGCCATTGACGTTAAGCTACATGATTGGCTGAACATTGCCATATGATGTAAAACATTGTTGTTGCCCAGAAAATTATAATAACATCACGCAGCATCCGTGTGCCGAGTCGGGATCATCTGTAGCGTTAGCGTGTCTAATGACCGATGAAAGTTTACCTGATTGATATGATAACAAAACAGAGAATACCCGTTTCTGGTGAACAAAGTAACTGTTAGACCATAATATAAAAGGGGGAGCTGGGTAGAGCTGTGGCTAGCTGTGCTCAGTAGCTTTGCTTTAAAGTTACTTTGTGTTAATAATAATGTTCGCTTTCTAATAACTGTTTTATTTGTTTAAAACGAGTCGTTTTTTAGGTTGTCCCATTTTTCCTCCTCTCTCCTCAGATCTCAAAGGGGAACACCGTTTTTTTTTTATTATACGTTAATTTTACGTTATTCCATCATGTTCTACTCACCAATGTTAGTTTGTGTCATTTGGAGCCGTTCTGAAGATATTCGATTTTGTAATCCAAGTAACGTCTTCATATGGGCAACGACTTGAAGGCACAAACTAAACTGTTCATAACTGTTCATAAACAGTTTTTCCGAGTGGACCTGCCATATGATGATGTCATAAGAAAAGGCAGGAACCCGAGCAGATCCGATACACCGGCGGTATGCTGCAGGTCTGGCACGCCCAACAAGAACTGCATATTTTAGTGGGATCATAATCCTGATGAACAGAGGATGTTTGGAGGTGGACTTTCTTGATTAAAACCAATTTTCTAACTCATAAAGCAAATAAAGCCAAGCTGCTTTTTAGCTTGAAGCTACAGAACAGAGGAGATAAACATCCAGAGTGTTGAAGCATCAAAGCGTTCACCACAGTTTGGTCCAGCGTCCTCATGTCTGCAATTACACATTTTTGACGCTGTTAATGCCTTTGTTGTGAACGCAGCATAAGTATTTGAATTTGAGTCAGAAGTTCAGCGATACTTCTTGGTCTGCTCTCGTAAACAACAACTGGACCTGAGGTTCATGATCTCAGTGTATCCACGTTCCAGCATCCTTTTAAGATTAAATGAGGAATCAATGCTGATTGTGATCTGTTGGGCAGTGTCATCTCCCAGTGGTGGAAAGCAGTCACCAGTCTGCCATTTGCTGATTATCTGTGTTTTAGAAGTGATGAGATGGTTTTTCTGCACAGGTGGTCAGGAGTACCTTCTAAACCTGATCGACTCTCCGGGTCACGTTGACTTCTCTTCCGAGGTTTCCACAGCTGTCAGGCTGTGTGATGGAGCCATTGTGGTTGTTGATGCTGTGGAGGGCCTGTGTCCTCAGGTAAACCTCCTCCCGTTTAATCTCAGTGTTAACGCTTCCAATCAGGAAACCTGATCGAATGAAGCATTGTTTGTCTTTTGTTCTGTTGGTAGACCCAGGCTGTACTCCGACAGGCATGGCTGGAGAACATCAGGCCTGTTCTGGTCATCAATAAGATGGACAGACTCATCACCGAGCTGAAGCTCACCTCTCTGGAAGCCTACAACCACCTGGTGAAGATCCTGGAACAGGTCAGTCTATGGCACAGCCCTGGTGGCAACTCACAGAAGCTTCAGTCTCCGTTTTGTATGAGAAAGACTTGGAAAAGTCTATGGAAGAAGAACGGGTCTCATTATCTGGTGTCAACCTGCTCTCTTCTCTGTAGATCAACGCTGTGACAGGGGCTCTGTTCACATCTAAAGTTCTGGAAGAACGAGCAGAGAAAGTGAGGGAGGAGGAGGAGGACAGGGACTTGGACCTGAGTGGAGATCAGGTCTATGACTGGAGCGCTGGACTGGAAGAGGCTGACGACTCCAACCTCTACTTTTCCCCTGACCAAGGAAATGTGGTGTTTGCCAGTGCCATAGATGGATGGGGTTTCAGGTGATTCATCCCTTTCCTCTGGAGTCCAAACATAGCACCCCCACATGGCAGATACAGCCAGTTTGCTCGAATCGGTACTAGAAACCTAGAAAATCCCAGTAACACAACTATTCACGGCCTTCCACCCTGAGCTGCTGGCTGTTACCTTGGAAACGATGGGGACGCAGAGAGCAGTTATTTATTTGTGTCCTATTAACAGCACTGCACACCGATGGCAGGCGTGGTCCTCAGGAGAAGTGGAGAGACATGTTCCTGGATCTATAATGGTCCTTCAAGACCGCTGAACATTAAAACCACTGACAGCTTGATCCTCTGCTCTTCTAAATGTTACATCATCAGTTCTTTGTTCTGGAAACTCAGCACCCTGAGAACAATGAGTGAACGGTTTCAGCCAAGTTTATTATTTTAAGAGCAGAAAATGTTGTTCCAGTCAAACCATTTCTTTTGTCAGTGACATTTCCCATAGTGGCTCTAAGGTGTCTGTCATCCTGATTAGTGTCTTTTTTTCTGCAGCGTTCAGCATTTTGCCTCCATATACAGTAAGAGGGTGGGGATCAGAGCCTGGGTGCTGCTGAAGACCCTGTGGGGAGATTTCTACCTCAACGCAAAAACAAAAAGGATCATGAAGGGGGCTCAGGTAATATGAACAGATGATATTCTTAAAGCTTTTCCTTGTTTTTCTTGGTTTTGCTATTTGTCAGAATGTCTGACTTTAATTAGACCTTTTTGGGTTGAACAGAAACGGGTCTCCTGTTTCCTTGCAGGCCAAAGGAAAGAAGCCACTGTTCGTGCAGCTGGTTCTGGATAACATCTGGAGTTTATATGATGCAGTCATCACCAGAAGGTGGGTTAAAGCTCATGTTCTAGCTTCAGATGTTCAAGCTCAACATTCAGGCCATCCAGTACGTGAAATGGATGCAGCAATGGAAAGCCAGTAAGGAACAGCAGCAGGGACTTTGCCAGTGGCTGTATCGGTGGCTGTGCCAGCGGTTGTACCAGCGGCTGTATCAGCAGCTGTGCCAGCGCCAATGACTGTGTCAGCAGCTGTATCAGCGGCTGGCTTTGTCATCCTTCCATTGATTCTAATGCATGGTTTCTTCTAAAAGTGTTTGTATTTGTGTGAGCAGAGACAAAGACAAGGTGGAGAAGGTTGTATCATCCCTGGAGATAAAGGTGATGTCCAGAGACCTGCGTCACTCTGACCCTAAAGTTCTCCTACATGCTATCTGCAGCCAATGGTTACCAGTGTCCAACGCTGTCCTCTGTATCCTCAAACTCCAACTAATCGTCTCCACAGCTCTATCAGAGTCTGGGTTCCAGTTTTCCTGAACAGTGACTCCAGCTATGGTGTGTGAGAAGCTCCCCAGTCCATTAGAGATGGCAGCAGAGAGGGTGGAGAAGCTGATGAGTGTAGGAACTCGTCCTTTTGAATCCCTACCTGAAAGGACTCAGGAACTGAAGACAGGTAATCCCTGACACACTCCACCCACACATACATGCACTGTTGGTTCCTAAAACAAAAAACATGTCCTTTAGTCGCTCTGGAGCTCAGCAACTTGCTCAGTTACTCATTGGAAGTACTCAACCATAGTACTTGAGTAAAAGTATTGATACTCATCAAATCTTACTCAACTACAAGTAAAAGCTAGGTCAAACATTACTCAAGTGAAAGTACTGAAGTAATCACTTTTGAAAATACTTAAGTATTCAAAAATCCAAATTATATTCTCCTAACACCAGCACATTTTTGTATAATTTTCAGAGTAATTTCAAAGAACCTGTAACTTTCAGAATACACCTGATGTATTAATGCGTAAAACCAACTGCTATAGCTTCTACAGCACCTGGAAAGAACTTCAGCATCAACATGATACAAAAAGTAAGGACAGATATTGTATTATTGTTTATCATTCAAAAATACAGCCAAAAAGAGGCAGGAGAGTTTTGATTCTCCTCACACTTTCACTTTGCAGCGATTCCCAACCAGTTGTACTCGTACCCCTAGTGGTCCGCAGGTGCATTGCAAGGGGTGCATGAAAATATTTTATTTGTTAGGTAGTAAAATAAAACAGGGGTGGGATCTGTTTTGCTTTTTAAGGATCCAATTGAAAAATTAAACAAGTAAGTGTTTATTATATGTTTGAGTTCACCTTCAGCCTTGACACCCATCCAAACCAAGCAGAGGAACAGACTGGATGTAGAGAACAGCCTTGGATCAACTATTTTTTACACTGAGCTATTAGAGCTCATCAAAGCAGCTCAGGTGTGTTGAATAATAGAAACAAAGTAAAACTTTTTAAACCCGTCTACCAGACATGGGCAAAGTGGAGTCAACAAGTCATCTCCATGTCATGTATTTAATCTACCCAGCCAATTAAGCAGGTGAGTCCAATCTGCACAGGTTAATTCACGGTGAAGATTGGACTCACCTGCTTCAGTGGCTGGGTAGAACAAATACATGACATGGAGATGACTTGTTGACTCCACATTGCCCATGTCTGCCGTCTACCTATAACCTTTGTTACCAATTCATCAAGCTTAAATGTGATTATAAGGGAGTTACTCAGAGGAGTCCAGTTTTATAAATACAGGTTAATATCATTTTATTTTGTATTTATTTTTATTCCTTAAAGTCGTAGGGAACCTGCTGTTCCAACCGTTGCATTTCAGAATTCTCCCGAGTGGTGCCCGACTGCACGAGACACAAGAGAATAAAGTGAATGTGATTGGTTGTTTATCAAGGGGGCGGGATTGTTGTGGCGAAAGGTTTGCAAGCAAGTTTGGTTGTGGCAATTTGTCGGAAGCATCTCGCTAACCAGTTAGCAACTTAGTGCTAGTAGGTTCCCAATGGGAAATTCCATTGGGACCAATTAGCACTAAATTGGTGACTTAGAAACGACACTGTCAAGGAACACTATGGACAGAGGAAACATGCAAGAGGAGGAGAGTTTAGTGTCTGAGGTCGGGGATGAGTCTCCTCCGTCATCCATTTTTTATTTAGAGGAGGAAAGCGGGGACGAAGATGTTGTGGAAGAGGACGCCAGGGCGGCAGAAGCTTGGTTTGATGTAGAAGGCTTCCAGCCGTACATGTTTGAGCCCTTGCCTCGCAGCGCTGCCAGTTCTGTTAGCTCTACGCCTGCAGAAGACACTGATGTCCATCCCCGTGAACACTGGGACGCAACTCAATGGGAAAGGAAAGGATTCTGATTTCAACCGTTCGGTATATTAGCTGCGACATATGAATCAAGATGCTATGACCGAAAAAATGTTGTTGGGTTTAAATCCAGAGAAATGTGAGTTTAAAAGATTAAAAGGAAAATGATCAACACAGAGACAGGGTTTTGTGACGTCAGCGTGTGCCGGGTGGAGAGAAGATTCTGGCTTGGAAAGCCATCACCTTCTCCCCCAGATCCCTTCATAGCAAAGCCTTTTATTAACAGTTTACAACATCAAACAGGCGGGCCTAAAACAGAAGAGCCAGTAATCATTGTCTGAGAGGATGCAGGTAACAAGATGGTGTGAATTGACCAACTGGCTGGATGGAAGTCACACATCCGTGTGATTCTGCCTCATGACCTACAGGAGGTCATAAAAGTTTATGACCCTTCTGGTTGAAACACAGGATAGTTATCACTCTAACAAATGTGATTGACAGTTGACTGATACAGATATACAGATGATATGATTGGCCGAATTTAGGTGTTCAGGCTGACATATAACTAACTGGCCTGCATAAAATAACGAAAAAAAACAACAACACAGATTTTAAGACAGGATTTTTTGAAAACAGAAATTTTCTAACTTTTGGGACGGTTACAGCTCTGCTTGAGTCCTACGTCTCTGTGTCTTCATGGTCTTGAAGAAGAATGTGGTTTAGCAAACAGACGGTGAGGAAATCTGCTGCTTTAAATTGGGAATTTGTTCTTCACTTTCGTCATGTAATCAAGGAGGGTTGTAATATCAAATGTCTTAATTTACAGAAATCTTTGAATTAGTCTCATGTGCGTGTGTATATTTGGTTATTGGACTCTCAGCCTGGTTTTCTGAAAAAGAGAGACATTAGAGACTGCTTTAAAAGTCTAACAGTGAGTTACATTCAAAGAACTGTGTAACACCCCTCCTAGAACAACTTTACTGGCTCCATAAAGCAGCGTTTCAACTTAAAGATCCTTCTTTACATTACAAAGCACTTAATAACCTTGTAAAGTGTATGTGTTTTGTTAAAGGGAAACACCATTTTTTTACATTTGGCCCTTTATTTTCCGTTATTCCATCATGTTCTACTCACCCATATGAGTTTAGTGTCATTTGGAGCCGTTCTGAAGATATTCAGTTTGGTTATATCCAAGTAACGTCTTCCTATGGGCAACGACTTGAAGGCACAAACTAAACCGTTCATCATTTATTCTTTATGGTACGCCAGCATTCAGAACATGGAGGCCAATCACTGTGGGCGACAGTGGCGTTGGATGTAGGAGTTTGCCCTGAAATCGAAGGATTGACGGCTCCGACTTTCAGTGTCGTTGTGTCCTTGGGCAAGACACTTCACCTGCATTGTCTACTGATGGTGGTCAGAGGGCCCGGTGGCACCAGTGTATGGCAGCCCTGCTTCTGTCAGTGAGCCCCAGGGCAGCTGTGGCTACAATGTAGCTTGCCACCATCAGTGTGTGAGTGTGTGCGTGAATGGGCGAATGAATGTAGTGTAAAGCGCTTTGGTCAAGTCTGCTGACTTGAATAAAGGCGCTATATAAGTATAGGCCATTTACCATTTATCACTGTCCCCCAGACATCTGCGGTTATATTTTTTATATTTATATCTTTTAAAAACAAAGCGGGGCATGTATGACGTCATCCGCGCGCGTCGGCTACCATTCATTCATCCAGTCCGCTGAACTGCTGCTAGTTTTCCTCACATGCCTGGAAGATGTCTAGTGCTGCTACCACAGATGATCTCACTCTCCAAATGGAATTGAACGATTCAGATTAGCTAGCCGAATATATAAGAGGTAGAGTGTAGCCGTCTGTGGCCCGGGCTGCCTGTTATTACTCCAGTGCGCATGCGCGAACAACTTCATACACGCACCGTTATTGCCCTTTCGAGTTTTTCAGAGATTCTAGCAACATGTTGAATGGCAATGCTTTTGCGTTTAATCTTCTGACCATTATCTTCTGCTGTGTGTCTTTTGGATTTCCTTGCTGATTTGAAACGCCCAGTTTGGGTATCCACAATTTGGAAGAGCATCTTTGATGTGTTTTTGTTCTTTGTGCTTCCCTTCTGTTTTTGTAGGGACATGATCGGCCCAGTGTTGTAAGGTTCTGATGACAGAAAGTTTGTGTTCCAGTGCTTGGGGTAAAAAAAAAGTAGATAACCTGTGGATTCCCATCTAGGCGTTTGTCAAATCAGCAAGGAAATCCAAGGTACCTTGGCGCAGCGTCTGCTGTGAAGCGTGCGCTGTACCGGTCTGTCGTGGCGAAGAGAGAGCTGAGTCAAAAAGCGAAGCTCTCGATTTTCCGGTCGATCTATGTTCCTACCCTCATCTATGGTCATGAACTCTGGGTCATGACCGAAAGAACGAGATTGCGGATACAAGCGGCAATTAGTGGTAAAACAGTTACTATGAAACACCTCAAGAGGTCAGTTCTGTGGAAACCTTTGTGTTGTGGAAAAGAGTTTCTGTTAATGTTTTGTAACCTCTTTTACGCGCAAAAGTGATCTATATGTAGAGGGGGAATGAGCGACCCGTCAGAGCTCACTGAGAGATTCTGTCTAACTGTGAGCTCTCCCCTTGAAAGTGTCTAAATTAACAGGAACCTTTGCTCCTTGCAGTCTGCTGTGTCTCAGTCTACAATTTCTAACAGACTTTACAAGTGGAACTAGGAAGGCATTGAGCTTGGTGCTACTTTTGGACCCCTCCTTTCAGTATCTAACTCTATTCAGGTTTTTAATGAATTGAAAGCGTCAGGGAGCCGTCATCAGGTCCTCCCTCTAGTCTCACTTTCTCAGGAACTGTTTTCAGTTTAACGGTGCTCTGCCTGCTGACTCAGTGGTGTTTTCCATCTGTGTGCTTTTCCAGCGTTCCTGCGGTGTTCCAGCGGGACCAATGATCCAGTCATCATCTTTGTGTCCAAAATGTTTGCTGTGGACATTAAGGCGTTGCCTCAGCACAGACCCAGGTAAGCCTGATGAATTTCCATTCAGTTTATTTCTGTATTGCCAATTCACAACACATCATCTGAAGGCGCTTTGCAAAGACAATTCCACCAAATCATCCAGTCAAATTGATTCAAAGTTTTCTAAGGAAAACCAGTTGATTGCATAGACTCAATGACCCGAAGGCAATCCCTCACACTAAGCTGATATCTCTCTTCAGGATGGAGTCACAGCCAAACAGGAACAGATGAAGCTACTATGAGAAAAAGCAGAGAGAGAATAATGTTAGAGATTGAACTAAGAAATACTGCAGGATGGGAGAACAGAGAAAACATGAAGCAGAATGATTAAAAAGGGTTCCTATGTCCTACAGCAGTCTAAACCTATAGCAGCATAACTATAGGGATGGAGATGAATGAGCCATATAACAGTTTTCTTTCCTATAGGACAGTAAGTTCTGGACGTTACAAACATTCCTCTTTCCTCTGGTGTTGTATCTTTGAGTTTTAAACAAGCTGTGGTCCAGCTCCTACTTTCCGTCGGCTTTGTGAAGAGTTTTTAATGGCATCCTCTTGGCAAATGACTGGTGATCACATTATTCTTCTGCTGTTAGATTTGACAGCAGCCTTTGACCCTGTGGACCACAACACTGTCTCTGTTAAACCACCTTGCTGGTATCCGTGGTACTGCACTGGATTGGTTTAGGTCCTATCTTTCCAGTAGAAGCACCTCTGCATTCCAGGAAGAGATGAGGGTCGATGAAGCTGTAACTGCTGCCAAGAAAACCTAAATAATGATCACTTTAGTGCAGCACAGACCAGCAGAGAGCTGAGCAGACATCAGGAGCAGGAAAACCAGACCTCTCCTGCTGGGAGGCGACGTGTTGAGAACGGTATCCTGTCTAATGAAAAAATCTTATTTAATCAGATATTATTTCAGCTGTTATATAGTGTTTAAGACACACAGTCCTACTAACTGTGTGTTAGAACAATAGATGAAAGAGTGATTCGAGCACTAATCATGGTCAAACAGTTAATTCTGCAAATACATGGAATAAATTCACCACAACTTCTGTTCAAAATATAAGAGTTTATTAACAAAAATCATTCAGCTCCAAGTCAAACATATTTCAACTAAGACTAGTAAAACTCAGCTAAACTAAATTAACTACTATGTACAAAGAGGAAGGGAAACATGGTTGAAAATCATATTACAGTTTAAGATGGATTCTGTGTTTGAAACCAAAGTTTATCTGGAAGAATTTGGGATATGATCAAATTAGCTTTTCACTAATTTTAAAGAAATTGGAATGTTTTCAGACCAATTCACAATGCAAATCCATGAGGTGAATGAAACATTATTTGGCCAAATAATGATTTATTGAATGATTTGCTTAATCAAGAACCAATAACCTTTAGCTAAATGATTCTTTACCCTCTTTGAAATAGCTAGCCGCGAATAGACATCAGGATTCCACTAAATGACTCTTGGTCAGACTTGCTAATGGAAATGTAATGAGCATCTGAGGAACATATGAACACTAATGTTATATCAGTGTTTAAATCCTTAGTGAATAAAGCTTGTCTAAGCTTTAGCAACAGCTCAACACATATTCCTGCAGCATAGCGTAGCATGCAGTCCATTCTTTAGCATCAATTAGCGTTGTCTTTACTCAGCAGTAAACACACGATATGATTAGCATCATCAAAAGACACATTGCTTGTTCTGTCCCTAATCATGCCAGACCTGCAAACCTTTTTTCCTGTTATCAGTGTGATGCAGAATCTGTGACATAATTTGACATAGTTTTCTCAACAGTTCATCAGTCTGATGGCGGTAGGGAAAAAGCTGCTGCAGAACCTGCTGGTCCTGCATTGAATGCTGTGAAGCCTCTTCCCAGAGGGCAGCAGGGAGAACAGTCAAGGGCGCAGATAGCGTGTACGTCAGGGGTGTTCTGACGTACACAGATTCGAATGACCCTCAATCCGTCCCCCCCACTTTTATAAAAAAAAAAAAAAACATATGGCGAAACTCACAGAAAATCAAAAAGCTTTTTCTAATTTACTGCTTTGCAACAACAACATAAAACAGTCAGATCATAGACAGGCAATCGTTTTGTTTAACTGCAGGCTGCCTGCGTCGTAGAGATTCAAATCTAAAAGTTATCCTGTCTCTGGCATTTACGTCTCGAGCCTGGTTTCCATGGTTACTCAGACAGACAGTAGTGGCTGGACAGTTCCCAATTCCGGAGTCCGGACATCAACATGAGGCCAGCCAAACCGAAAAAACAGAAAACAATTGCATCCTTTTTTAGAAAAGCACCAACTGTAAGTAAACTGTTCATTGCGGTATCATATCACCTTGCATTTTTTTGGTTGTCTGTTCGATGTCGCCGTGGAAAAAAGAGTGGAGACGGTCAGTGAGAATAGCGTGAAGAGAGGTGCCAATGTCATAAGGCGGGAGGCAGGGGGAATCGACTGGCATTTATTTATTTATAATGAAATCGACTGTTCCGACTTTTTCTGGAGTTGTTGGGGGTCTTTCAGAAATATGTAGGCTACAGTAGGCTACTTGAATCCGTATTTATGCCAAGCCAAATGGTTTAGGTTGTTACAGGTTGAATCATGAGAAAAACGAACTTCAAAGCTAGACAAATTCCACTACACAGGGGCGGATTTTGGAAATTTTGGGCCCTAGGCAAAGACAGGCATGGGGCCTTCTGAATTGAGAAGGCAACATATAGAACAGACCCATTATACAGATACAGAAATTTTAATAGAATAGAAATTTGAGGATGTCATGTATCTTCAAGTTTGTCTATGTCACTGTAACTCGGAGGAAAGAATCTCTCTCTCGTATATATATATATATATATATATATATAATGTGTGTGTGTGTATATATATAAATAAATAAAAGGTGCATGTCACAGGAAAGACTAGTGATGTTACAAATATGACAATTGCTTAAACTACAGAACAGTAAATTCTTTAATCTATAATTAACATGGCCCTTAACATCCCCAGCTGTACACAATAACACACATTAAAGCAATGTTAATACAAAGCTGTAAAGTAGAGTGAGACGTTGATAATAACTTCCTTATGTTTTTTGAATGTATAAATTTAATTATAAAGGACTAAAACACCTAAAACTTATGGGTGATTTTACAACATTTAAAAGCCTGAGATTTTACTGAAATTGGGGCTACTGGGGCTCACTGGCCTTAGATGTAATGAGCGAACTGGAAGTGCTGAATACATCGCTCCAAAAAAGCACCCAGACATTGGAGGGCATGGTCTCTGCAGTCTCAGTTGTCCAAGAGAGATTACGGGACAAAAGAAAGCCAGCCCACTTTGAGGCAGTCTTTAAGGAAGCAGTGGATATGGCTGAGAAGCTGTCTCTAACACATAGGCCCCCAAAGAGATATTCTGGGCCAGCACCTGCACACAGGCCAGAATCTGCTGTGGAGTACCACAAAGTGGAGTTCTACAGAGTTCTTGACAAAGTAGACACACAACTTTCTTCATTTGAGGCCATTTATTGAAAAGCCATGTAAAGTACTTATTTACAAATTTGTTTTTGTATATATGTAGGCTTTGCTGTTCGTGTTTCTGTGTGTTTACAGCCTGCACTTAAAGTCAGTCCATGTTTAAATAAAACCTTTTTTTTTTCACACGTCATGTGGCATGTTTGGTGAGTACTTGGTACCAATACATGTTATTTTCTTGCAATGATGGGCAATTAAGATTGATGGGTTGTCATAGCTGAGTAATAGCCAGTAATAGGGCTCAGGATCCACGTTGCATTGTGGGACGTCGCAGCCATATTGACTGCTACGCAAACGTAAGCATAGCTCTGACACAACGTTGTTGTTGAAAGAAGAGACAGAAGTAGAGAGAAAAAAGATGTTAAAATCCCGAAAAGGATCTGGAATTTACCGGGACACATTAAATAGAGAAGCCAGGGACCGGTATGGTGACAAAATCAGCATTGTTAATCATTTGGATCCATATAAAGTTCCAAACAATGAGTGGAGCACCAATGAGTGAGCGCCTATACTTCAAAACAGTTCCCAAGCTACAAGTCCCTGGAGTCTCATGTGCAGTTCATGAATGGATGGGTTCAGGAGCTGCAGATCATAAAGCCAGCAAACAGTGGGAACACAGTAATCCGTACAAAGGTAAGCTGTGATCAGACGGGCTCTGGAACCTGCTAGTTTAGCAACTGCTAACCGCTAAGGCTAACAACCACTCACGCATGTAATGTACTTTTAACTAGCTGCTATGTGTTTAAAAGGTGTAGTTAGTAACGTTAACTGCCAACCCTCCGGGTTTCTCGCGTATTTGAGCCTTTTCCCGCTGCCGTTTTTATTATTTTCCCGTAAAAGATCCCAACTTTGAAGGAAAGAAACACTGTAGGCTATAAAATAAAACCGTGCATCTTTAACTTACCAGAATGAAAATGCAGGGAACACACTCTCATTGACATCGGAATACTGTGGAAAGTTATGTTCGGTCGTCTTACAGCCGCGATCCAAGCTAGCCGACGACTCTTTATCTCTGACGCTTGGTCTCCATGGTTACGCCTCCAGTCAGGAAATCGGTGGAAAGTTAACCCATTTTCTATGTTTCCATGGCGATCATGTGTTGAGCTGTTACAGCCCACAATACAGCAATGGTTTACCATGGTTGAAATCAAGTTAAGGTGAAATTAATCAAATTAAAACACGGCTGAGAGGGAGTACAGTACGCGGTAGTCATAGGCAGTAGTCTGAGCTGCTGTAAAAGACGCATTCAACATGGCGGCGACGCGAAGTGCTTACGTCACGATGACCAAGCCCTATAGTAACTGTCCCCCACAGTTTCAAAAACCTATCTGCGCCCCTGAGAACAGTCCATGTTGGGGGGGTGAGGGGTCATTGATGATGTCACGGGACACGCCGCGCTGGGATGAAATGCCCTTTGGACCAGTGAGGTGGTGTTTCCAGTCCAGGTGAGGGTGTCTGTGATGAATGTGGTGCTGCTGACCACCTTCACAGCTAAGCTGTTGATGAGCAGTGGAGCGTGGTTAGGCCGGTTCTTCCTGAAGTCCACTATGATCTCCTTGGTCTTCTCCACCTTCAGGATCAGGCTGTTATCTCTGCTCCACCAGCTGCTCCACCTCCTCTCTGTAGTCCAGGTGGTTGTCGTCTCTGATGAGGCCCACCACCGTGGTGTGGTTTGCAAACTTCACCATGTGATTGGTGGTGAACCTGGGGACGCAGTCGTGTGTCATCAGGGTGAACAGCAGGGGGCTCAGGACGCAGCCCTGAGGGGAGGGGCTTAGACTGATGACATCAGAGGTGTTCTGTCCGACCCGGACTGACTGAAGTCTGTTGGTGAGGAAGTCTAGCAGCCAATAGCAGAGGGGTGTGTTGACGCCCAGCTGTTCTGATAATGGCAAATCTTTACATTTTAACCAGTCAGTGAGTTATTGATGTTTTAAAATGTTGGATGAGTGGACAATTGGTCTGAAAGAGGAGTCAAATCGCAGCTCAAGTAGGACATTACAAGGAAAGGAGACTTCTGTCTTCTGAAAGCCACCGCTGTTTTCACCTCAAAGGAGCTTTTCATTGGACTAACTATGCGGTTTGTTGGCTATATCAGCAGGTTAATAAATAATAAGTACTGTATTATGATATTAAAATTGGTATTTCTTTATTTAAATTTTATTATCATGTTTAATCAGACCTCAAATTTTATATTTAGTTAAGAGTGAGATGGTTAATTTTCGGAGGCGTGGATGACTTGACCCTGGAAGAAAAATCTTTTTCTCCTGACTTCTATAAGAAAATCAAAGTCAGGATTTTCTCTGACTGACAGCCCTGTGGCTGCAAGGCTATCAGTCAGAGGTGGCAGTCTGCAGCACTGGGGCCTCCAGGCTACCGTCCTGTCTCCATTTCTCTTCACCCTCTACCCCTTGTGTCTGAGGGGAATGAGCTGGAGTACCGGTCAGTCATCATGGACTTTGTGGACTGTTGTGAGAAAAAACACCAGTGTTTAAACACCAGTTAGACCAAGGCGATGGTGATCGACTTCAGGAGACGACCCCCGTGTAAACATTCAGGGGCAGGACATAGAAACTGTGGAGAGTTTCAAATACCTGGGTGTTCACGTCAATAAGAAAGCTGACTGGACACATAAAACCATAATAATTGGAAATAACTATCCAACATTTTAACTTTTTGTAACAAATGTATTTTTTCTGTGGTTCTGATTTGTTGATCTGATGGCACGGTTCAAGTTGTCCTCGGTGCCTCTCTATCACCAGGCTTGAAAGCTGAGGTGCTTTTAGTGAATTTCCAAACCTCCCCATCAATCCAGGGTTGTTTGCTGGTGTGTGTGGTCATGTTCTTCATTACCCTATTTGCTACACTCAACAAAAATATAATCGAAACACTTTTAGTTTTGCTCCCATTTCTGTGAAAGTGATCATCTCACAGCTGTGCCATATCAAGATGCTGATTAGACACCATGATTAGTGCACAGGTTGAATGCTGAACTTCTCTCTCTGTATGCTTTCTGGACTCGTTTGTCTGCAGGCCTCTGAGCCAGGAACAGATCGCTCAGCGCAGAGACGTGGCAAGGCAGAGGCACGCTGAGAAGAGGCTGGAAGGTGCCGCGCTCCCAGATGGGCCCCCAGTAGAAGGTCAGGATGTCTGCCCCAGATGTGGATGTTCACAGTAGAGCAGATCTAGTAGTTTTCATCAACGGTTTCAGATTAACAGACCAAGCCACCGCTGCTGGGCGCCATGGCGGTTACATTGAAAGTCGTGCTACCAGTGCGATTACCATGTAAACATTACAGTCATTGAGTCTCTGAAGTGTAAAGTTAATCCAACCCTGACCCACCAGGTCAACTCTGTTTGGATCTGATGCCTTCAGGGACCATTTTGCGGAGCTCACAGCTGTCTCTCTGAACAAATGATTTTGTTTGTCTCCCTGCCTATAGCAAAGACGCCCAGTCTGCCTCCGAAGGACACAAAGGAAGAGGAGGAGGAAGAGGAGCAGCAGAGGGAGGTCTTCATAGCGTTTGCACGGATCTACAGTGGAACAGTGAAGAAAGGCCAGCGGCTTTTCATTTTGGGCCCAAAGTACGACCCTGCTCAGGGCCTCAGTCTGGTGAGGCTCAGCTCCCTCCATCTTGATATCGGCTCTCATGTTGCTAGGAGACGGACAAGCCAAGGTCTCTTGTCTACCGCTCCGTGCATTAAGTAACCGCTAGAACTAGCTCAGCACCAGAACCACTGTAGGTAGTTCCTGTTCTGAGCCTTTTGACCAAGGCGACTCAGAAACCTGCAGATAACAGAGCAGTTAGTCTCTGAGCACGCAGGAGCTAGTTTGACCGAAACTCACTGGTTAGGGACATTTTTAATGCTGCGTTCACACCAGGTGCGTCCTTGGCGTCAGTCTGTTTTACAGGCAGAGTCAATGGGGGACAGCGTCGAGAGCTCCAGAGAAGCGCTATGGCGTCTGAGCGACAGAGCATCCAACACTCGAGTTCAGTAAATTGAACTGTGGCTGCTGGACCCCGGAGCGTCAACCAATCAAAAAAGCTGATCTTGGAGTTTATTTGGGGGAGACAGACACTACCTGCAAGCTGCTGTCACTTCTGCAGACATTCTGCATAAAATAATAAATAAATATCAATGGAGTTAAACTCCAAAGGTTCAAATAAAGCTGGTAGAATGGATTGTTATGTAGAAGGAACAGAGTGCAGCTTTGATTATTATTACTGCACATTCTTATGAACTATGGAGAAACAGTTTATAAATACCCAAATGAACAAGAAATATTAAAACCTGCTGGTGATAAATATTCTATTTTATATTCTGGTTCTTGCAGTTTTTACAACAAACCGAAATAACCTTTTCTATTCACTTCCAGTTGCTACCAACTACCGTATTTTTACGACCATAAGGCGCACCGTACTAAAAGGCGCAGTTTAAGTTATGTGTGCCATTTCTGTATTTAACACACAAATAAGGCGCACCAGACTATAGGGCGCGGGTTTTATATACAGGTACATGTCCTCTACTGCATTTAAATACCTCTACTGCGTATTTTAAAATAGAGCAGGAGCAAAACTGAGTATGATTGTACTTTATTCATTTATTTATTACAAAGTATTAATCAAACCTGGGAGCTGGCCGTGAGACAGACACATCGCTCTGATGACAGCGCTATGATCACTCCTCTGAAACACAACAAACATTTATTGACGCATAAATTAACTTAAAATGCAAAAATCTTCCGGCAGAATATGTTCGCTTTTATTATCCTGGTGCCGGCAGTTTGGATTGTTCCAGTTAGTTCTGACGCACGGCTGAAGCAGCCAGCGTTGGGAAAGTTCTCTTTCTACGTGAACTGGTTCAAAGTTCAGTTCACACATTTTAAAATGAACTAGTTCAGTTCATAGTTCACAATTCCAAAAAACGAACTAGTTCATAGTTCTTTTTTTTTTTTTCATATATTGCTCAATTACACCATAGCCTACTGTAGAACCACAGACAGCAATTATTTTATCAGTTGTAACTCTGAAACTGTGCGTCAGATTTCATCTTCATATCCAGTTTTGAATCCTTATCCAACCAGGGTTTACATTAGCATTGAGGGGACAGCATTTCCCCATTGTTGCTTTAACGCTTTGTTGCTGTCCATTCACTTCACACTAGTAGCAGCTGCAGCTTTCACCCCTACAGTATATTCTCAAAAACATCAGGGAAAATGTGCTGCTTGAATGGTCTTTTTTATGAGGAATTATTAAAAGAAAAATAGGAAAGTAGTCTTTAAGGTGCAAATGTTTTTTTTTTATTTTAATAATTTTTTCCATTTGAAATTCCATTTCAATACATACTAAAAAGGAATACTGGAATCCTGGAAAACTATACCAGGCAGGTTTAACAAACAAGTTACATGGATAGTAAAACCCTCAAGAACAGGGGTCTTCTATGTTTTCCAGACCAAGGACCCCCAAACTGATGGCGAGATGGAGCGGGGACCCCCTAACTATATATATTGTATGAAATTGTGTCCTATAGTCACTCTATTACAGATGGAGTAATGTAAAGAAATTAATTTCTCCCTGGGATTATTAAAGTTTTTCTGATTCTGATTCCTGGTTGTTGTGAAGGAAACGGTGCCCAGCTTGAAAGAGCTCCTGTGTGTCGCTGAATGTGTGCATTGATGACTGAAAGACATCTTTTGTCTCCATTTATCTGTTTACCACAGTGTGTTGATTTCATGTTAATGAGTATTTAAAGACATTTCAATTAGTGGGGGAAAAAATTGCAGGGGGGGAATATAAAAATATCAACTAACCATGCAGACCCTCATGCAGTACCTCCGTAGACCCCCTAGGGGTCGCGGATCCCCTGTTGAAGACCTCCGCTCAAGAAGATTTTACTAACACAACTACTGAAGTGCGGATTTTTTTCTGAAAGCCGGCGGGCAAACTTGTTTCCATCAACCTCACCGACCACCTGGTCATAAAACTATTGTAAGTGATCATACTGCTGCTTTGTCGCCTCCACGGTCGCCTCCATGCTGCATTTTGTTTTGATGACGCACGCGGCTGACACTGGTAGCTGGTGTTGCCAGATTGGGTGTTTTTCCCGCTACATATTAAGGCCTGTTTACGGTGTGATTTAGCCGGGGTTTCGCCTGGAGGACTCTATAGAAATCTGGCAACCTATTGAATGGAGCTGAACTGAGAGCGTGCCGTTCACAGACGCCAGAATGAACGAGTTCACAATAGCGTTCATCAGGCAGTAATGCAGTACGTTCAGTTCACGTTCGCCCAAAATATGAACGAGTTCATGAACTTTCGTTCAATGAACGCGTTCAGGCACAACACTGGAAGCAGCTTTGCTGCGCTGTGCAAAAGTGGGCCTTTGTGGGATGCGCGTTGGGCGGAGCTACTCTATCCTTTCTCTGCCTTGCAGCTATATTTGCTGTGATTAGTGGGAATAAAGTAGTTTTAATATGTTTTTAAGTGAGAAAGTCCTCCTGAAAACTTAATTCAACAGCAGCCTCTGGCCGGGTCCCCTCCTCGCGGTTCACTGCGGCGGCTGGTAGGTGTTTTTCATCAAAACAATCTAAACTGCAGGCACCAGGTTAATAAAAGCGAACAGCCGGCAGGTTTCAGCATTTTAAGTTAATTTAGGCGTTAATAAACTGTTTCAGAGGAGTGATCACAGCGCTCTGTATCATCAGCGATTCAGCTCCCAGATCAGCTTCTCTGATTGGTTGATGCGGCGTGTCCAGCAGCAAAACTTCAATTTTTCCATCTCGAGCAGCAGCAGCGCTTTTGCGGCGCGTTAAGTGCGTCAGATGCTTTAACGCTCCCGACACGCTGCGCCTGTTGCTCAAAACGCGCTGCGGGACCTTTTGCTGTGCCTTGACGCGCGTCAACCATTGACTTTGCTTGAAAACTCGCTGCTTCTGCTGCACCTGCTGCGTCTGGTTCACACCGATGTCGAGCGGTTGAAGTTCCTTTGTCAGACCTCCCGGAATAACAGCAAGCACAGCGTTAATTTGTTTTACCATGTTCTTCACATCGGCTGTGAGATGGGCACGCATGGAGTCACAGATTAACAGCGATGGGGGAAAAAAACCACCTGGTCTCCTCACATACACCTGCCTCAGCCACTTTTTCATCATCTCCTCAATGAGGAGATGAGGAGTTCTGCATAAAGCACATACCTGTTCTTTTATACACAATCCACGCCCACACTTCCCCCTTTAACGTTCTCATGGTGATCTCAACAATGTCCGTGGTAACAACACACATAGGGTGTGCCGCACATTTTGAGGGAAAAAAAAGATGTTTATATGCGCCTTATAGTCGTGAAAATATGGTAATAAAGTAAATAAAGCCCAGCTTTTCTTTAGTTTGAAGCTACAGAGCAGAGCAGATAAACATCCAGTGTTGACGCATCAAAGCAAATTGGACCACAGTTTGATCCAGCGTTCAGATTTCTGCTTTTACGCTTTGTTGACGCTCATAATGTCATTGGACTGATGCCTGTATCAACCCTAGATAAACACCCAAAAGGTCCAAAATCTGAAAGGGATCAGGTCTAGAGCTAGAACAGTTAGAGATGGTCCTTCGTACATTAACGAGTGGATGTGGCCTCCACCCATCAGACAGGCTGCTATGGGGAAGGATAGGTCTAATAGACATGACTGTTCCCAGCCCAGAGGAAGTCCATCAGAGAAACAGCGGTCAGGAGCAAATCGTCAATATTTCTAACGCTTTTATTTCTTCATTCTAGCTTCCAGATGGTAGCAGTGCATCTGACTGCTTGGTGGAGGTGCCCCACCTGTCCTGTTGTACCCTGGAGAAGCTTTATCTGCTCATGGGTCGAGAGCTGGAAGAGTTAGAAGAGATCCCTGCTGGGAACGTTTTGGGTAACTTCTTGCTGTTCTTCCTTCTTGCTTTAATTCGGGCTGCATTTGATAAAACATCAACTATGTTAAAGTCGGGAGCCAATGTCAGTCATGTCTGGGTCAAACACAATGAGGAAAATAAGTATTTCAACTCAATTTTGCAAGTTGTCCCACTTAGAAATCATTGAGGATCTGAAATTGTCATTGTAGGTGCATGTCCACTGTGAGAGACGCAATCTAAAAAACAAATCCAGAAATCACAATATATGATTCTTTTAACTATTTATTTGTATGATCCAGCTGCAAATAAGTATTTGACCAGCTGTCTGTCAGCTAGAATTCTCACCCTCAAAAACCTTTTAATCTGCCTTCAATATGTCCACCTCCTCTCCATTTATTCTCCTAAATTAGATGCACCTTTTCGAAGTCTTTAGCTGAATAAAGACACCTGTTAACCCCATACAATCAGTAAGAATCCAACTACTAATAACGGCAAATAGCTGTCCAAAGACACTAGAGGCAAAATTGTAGATTTCCAGAAGGCTGGAAAGGTCTACGGGGACATTACCAAGCAGCTGAGTGAAAAAAGGTCCACTGTTGGAGCAATGATGAGGAAATGGAAGAAGCTAAAGATGACTGTCAATCTCCCTCATGCATGATCTCACCTGGTGGGGTCTCAATGATCTTAAGAAAGTGAGAAATCAGCCAAGGACTACACGGGAGGAGCTGGTCGATGACCTGGAAAGAGCCGGGCATACACTATGTGATTTTTTTTCAATCGTTGCATGCAGCTACCGCTCATATTGTACGAAGAAACCGCAGGGTTTTGTGCTACGTGTATGCTACTTTAACGGTGTATGCTGAACTGACAGAACACAGGCAAGATTGTTGATGAGATCGGTTTCTGATGGCTATTTCTCTTCCTCTGATCTTCTTCTTCCAGGTATTGGAGGTCTAGAGGAGTACGTCTTAAAGTCGGCCACCCTGTCAGCCTCCCCGGCCTGCCCCCCCTTCATCCCACTCAACTTTGAAGCTACTCCTATTGTACGAGTTGCCGTGGAGCCAAAGCATCCAAGTAGGTGTCAGTTTTGGTCCTGAAGGATGAACCTCTTCTCTTGCCACATTTCCTCTGGGTCACTTATCAGGTTTAGAGATGAGCTTTCGGTGGATGAGCTTCGGTTCAGCCAGACTAGCTGAACCAAAGCAGCAGCAGAACCAGAGCGTCTCCTAAGTGACCTAGAATCTGTGGTCCTGCTGCTCTGGTGGTGCTTTCACAAAAAGGCACTGAAACTGATGATAAAACATGCATGTGTTCAGAATGAACCCAGACATGTGGTAGAGTGTTTAAGGAACGCAGCAGCTAGCATGTATGAACACTGAACCGCTGGAATTAAGATCTCTGCACTGTGGAAACCTGAATCATAAATGGTCCTCTATGATTCCCTAAAACACAGAGGGGCGGAGCTTCTTTTTTTTAAGCCCTAATTGCTACAGATGGTCAGGTGTGGGCTAACAAGGCACCGTCTCTTCCTTAAGAAGCATGAGCTAACACCAACATCAACAGTTGATTTCAGGGTTGTTTGGTTGTGTCCGAATGTCCGCCCTAACTCCTAAATCCCTCCATAGAGCTAAACAGTGGACATTATAATGAACACAGTTAACTGACCACTTGGACAGGTGATCGCTACTTTTTTCTCGCCGTTGGTCACGTGACTCTGCCTCCATGCGCGGTACCTGTTTATTTGTCGTCGGTGTTACAACTAATCCCATGATGCTTTGTGACAAGAGCTCTTGCAAAGCAAACTGGGATATATCTGCTCGCTGATGATATATCTGATGATCACTTTTTATTGTGCATTCATAGTCCACTACTTTTTCATTCTCTAGATGTTCGACACTATTCTATATTTCTTTTTGTTTTTTTTGTACTCTAATAATATATACTCTAATAATCCCAGAGGGAAATTACTTCTCTGCATTTAACCCCTCCCCTTAGGGAGCAGTGGGCTGCCATTGTCTTGCTCAGGGACCCAGAGTGGCAGTCTGTGGGAGTGGGGGATCAAACTCACAACCTCAGGATTCAAAGCCCTATGCTCTAACCACTAGGCCGCCACTCCCCCATAAAATGCCGTAACCACTATATAGTGTCCTATATAGGGATTAGGGCAGAGGTTCGGACACAGCTGTTAGCCCAAATATAACTTCACTTCTGGATGAGTTCGGGAGAGCTTTATTTTTCTTTCAACCACCAACATACAGCCAACGTCCTAACCCCAGAAGAGATAGCTTATCCTGCAGAGCCCCCTAGTGGGCTGGCATGATAATTGAACATAAAAAAAAGACTAACAAACTCACTCTCTTCTTATCCATTTCAGCAACATTAGACCGAACACAAAGGTTTTCCAGTTGTGATAAATCAACTGATTTACTGTTACCAGCCCCCTCTGTAGGCTCAAGTTGTTCCAAGTTAAACCAGTTCTTGTATTTCCCGGTTGCTTTACCAGCTCGTCCCAACACCTTTGCTGTTTGTGATACACCCTCTGCATTAGTGAATGTCACAATCTCACCAGGCTTTACGTTGATGCTGCCAGTCTGTTGTCTTTCTGTTTCCGTGTGCGGTCTTTCCATATCCACAGCGTCTCTGTCCATTTCTGCAGGCTGTGTCTCTGTGCTTGTATGTCCAAGGTTTTCTTCTGTCTCTTCTTCATTAATGTCCATTGTAGGTTGTCCTTGAATGTTGTCATCACCAGTAATCTGATGCTCTTCATCCTCATGAGTAATCTTCCTCAACCTGAGTCGGTGCACTCTGACACAGGTGCCTCCATGTCTAACAAACACCACTGCACCATCCTGCCCAATAACCACTCCTGGTCCTTTCCATTCAGGGCAGTCCACTCGTTTGTAGAACACTTTGTCTCCAAGTCTATATTGTTCATCTGTGGGTCGCAGCTGTTTCTTTAGGGCTCTGCGTATTCTCTCTGAATACTCTGCTTCTGTAAAAGCTTTTCTTGCAGCATGTAGGGCAGAGATGTGCTTGGCCACCCATTCACTTTTAGTAGTCCCTTCCAGAGCTGGGGCTTTATCTATCAACACTGAAGGTAGGTTGGAATTCTGCCCAAACACAAGTTGATGGGGGCTGTATCCGTGGACGCTTTGCATACAGTTCTTTGCCATTAGAGCCCAGTCCATGGCGGTGCTCCTGTTGCACCCAGTATTGTTTTTACTTTCAATATAATCTCAGTCAGAGTTTGATTGTGGCGTTCCAACAGCCCATTGCTCCAGGGACTGTAAGCAGGTGTTGTCTTGACTTCAATGTTAAAGTTCTCAGCCATGTCTCTCACTTCTTCATTATTAAACTCACCACCATTGTCACTGAATAGCTTTTGTGGTGGTCCATGTACACTAATCCAGTCATGAATAAGATGTTTGACGATCTCAGAAGACCTATTGCTGGTCAAAACACTACCTACACTGAAACGAGTAAACTGATCAATGATGTGTAAATACCACACTCCAGGCTCAAGCTCATGTAGATCTACAGCTACAGTCTCATTGTATGTCGACGCTAGTGGCAGGCCAACAGCAGGCTTAGGTTTGGTCTTGCAATATTTCTGACATACTTCACATTGGTTTATGATGTTTTGCAGGAGGCTGTTACAGTCTGTGTCTTTGTTGCCAGAATTGTTTAAAAGCCGTTTCAGCTTTTCAGCAGAAGCATGTCCAAACTGCTTATGAAGTTTCTCCAGAACTTTGGTCTTCTCACTTGGGTTCATTTTATCTGTTATAGCCAGTATTTCTTCCTCCACCAACAATTGATCAGAGTGAGTAGGACTTTTACTTTCTTTATCCACAATGTTCACACAGTAGTGTCCAGAGCTGGTGAAGTCCAATTGCACTGGCTGGTTAAACATCATTGCTCTGTCTCTTTCCATGTCCAGAACAGTTTTTGCTCTCTTTAGTGACGTTTTACTCAAAAGCAGTGGGATGTTGGCCGGAACGACTTCTGTTTCGATGTTACATCGTGTGTTGCCAATCTTGGCTGGTATCTTTATCTTTTTGATGGAGTACACTATTTTTCCATCTCCAAACTTAAATGGCCTGTGGCTTTTCATTTCTGTTTCTCTCATAGTCTTGACCCCTTTTTGCTGCAGTGTAGCTCTGTAGTTATCCAGCCATTCTTTACCACAAACTGTTCTAGTGCAAGCAGTGTCTATTATTGCTGAACCAAAACTTTCTGTCATGAATATTTCAGCATCTGTTGGTGATTCTTTGGTGTACAGAGTAATATTGCATTCTTCCACATCTGTGTTATCTTCAGTGATTTTTATACTTTCTGCTTTATGTGGACAATCTTTGGCCCAGTGATAGGTACTTTGACACACAGCACACTTAGATCGTTTTCCATACCTGTCCAATGGGTTGGTGCCGGGTTGTGGGGACCTTTGCCATGAGTTGGGCCTCCAAGTCCTGCCTTTCTGTCTTTGTTGTTCTGTTGCAAACACTGAATCCTGCTTGATGCTCTCTGCTGTTTCACTTTTTTTCTTATCACCAAATATTCTTTTTAAAGCGGATTTCATTGAAGCAAACGTCACATCTGAGCATGCTGTTAAAGCCAACTGCCTGTCTGTCACATCCAAGCACGAAGTATCTAAAAGCTTAAATGCCAGAACTGCATCGGGTAACTCCATTTTGTATTTTTTCATGCGCGAATAACGCTGTTCAAAGTCAATAATAAAATCCACCATGGATGTGCTTGCATCTTTTTTGATCCGATCAAACTCTGAGTATGCTTCATATATCATGTCCTTTTCCTCTTTAAGGAACAAATTATCTAATTTATTCAACAACGTGACCATTCCAGTGTCTTTATTTAAATCATCTACCGGAATTTCCATAGCGGTGTCTCGCGCCCTCCCGGATTGCGCCAGAGCAACGGCGAGAGCTTGTTTCTTTTTTTCCAAGTCGGTAACTCTCGTCCACATATTGACTTCATTCTTCCAGCTTTCATAAGACTTTCCTTCTTCAAATGTTGGCAGAACTCTGTAGTTACTAACCATCCTCTGCTACCACTGTTAGCCAAATATAACTTCACTTCTGGATGAGTTCGGGAGAGCTTTATTTTTCTTTCAACCACCAACATACAGCCAACGTCCTAACCCCAGAAGAGATAGCTTATCCTGCAGAGCCCCCTAGTGGGCTGGCATGATAATTGAACATAAACAAAAGACTAACAACAGCCATTGTGTTTCAGAAGCTGTTTGTTGTGATTTTATGTTCAATGCCCATCCAGATAAAATGTCACATTGATATTGGGATTTTATATTCTATTCAATTCCCAGCCAGCTTGGAATTTACATTTCTGTTACTTTAAGATGTCTTTTGCCCCGGTATGGGGTGCTAAAATATCTTATTTAATCAGATATTATTTCAGCTGTTATATACTGTTTATGACACACAGTCCTACTAACTGTGTGTTAGAACAATAAATGAAAGAATTATTTGAGCACTAATCATGGTCAAACAGTTATTTCTGCACATACATTCACCACAACTTCTGTTCAAAATATAAGAGTTTATTAACAAAAATCATTCAGCTCCAAGTCAAACGTATTTCAGTTTAAAACTCTCAACTAAGTCTAGTAAAACTCAACTAAACTAAACTAACTACTATGTACAAAGAGGAAGGGGGAAACGGTTGAAAAACATATTACAGTTTAAGATGGATTCTGTGTTTGAAACCAAAGTTTATCTGGAAGAATTTGGGATATGATCAAATTAGTTTTTTACTAATTTTAAAGAAATTGGAATGTTTTCAGACCAATTCACAATGCAAATCCATGAGGTGAATAAAACATTATTTGGCCAAATAATGTTTTATTAAATTATTTGCTTGATCAAGTTGCAGTCCATCCTGTTAGACTTGTTCTTACTCCTAATCAAACAACATGTTGTTTGTTCTGTCCCTATTCATGCCAGACCTGCAAACCTTTTTGTCCATTTCCATTTGGAGTTCAGCAGGCAGGCCACAGCAAGGCAGTCTCTCTCTCTGTTCCAGTGGCTCACAGCAGGGGTCTCAGTGGCTGATCAAGGCATGCTTCTCATCCAGTCTGGGTTAATAAGTTCTGAAACTCAAGAGAAATGTGTTGCAAAAGGTCTGTTTTGCAGAAGTTTCTGAAAGGTTCTGATTTATCTTTGAGGATTCTTGAGATCTGTGTCTTTCCGCTCCAGCAGGATCTCCATCTTGTCGGAGATGGACCCCAGCTTCATGGGCAAGGGAGAGGAGGCAAAGTGAATAACGTCCTGTGTCCTCTGTGGTTTTGTCTGTACTCACAAAGAAGGGGCTGGCAAGTCACACCTCTATGGGAGTTCCTGTTACTGCTTTGGAGGCCTTGGCTAAAAAGAGGGGGGCCGCAGAGGTCCCCCAGCTGCTTTCACCAAAGCGTCTTCTCTTCTGGTCATCATGTCAAGATGAAATATGGACACTGGTTCCCAATGTCTAAAAACTATGATCACGGCATATGGCACAACATGTTTCATTTGCTCACCTGCTCAGGGACTTATTGATTCAGGATTTTTTTGCAAATTATTCCCTTTAAACAAACCAATAAACAAAACTAAGCTACTCTGGTGTTGTCTCCATTCTGTGTGCGTCTTTGACAGTATCACAGCAACCCCACTGGGATGGAATGATTACTATAATGCTTGTTACAGCTCCTGTGTATTTGTCCAGTTTCGTCTTCATGGTCAAACTTCTCTGTGCGGATGGGGCTAAATGAGGCAGAATGATTTTGAAGTTTTAAACCCCCGGTGTCCTCTCAAAGCGGATGATCAACACAATCTGTGTATGTTCCAGGTGAGATGCCAAAGCTGGTCCGTGGGATGCGTCTCTTGAACCAGGCAGATCCGTGTGCTGAGGTTCTGATACAGGAGACAGGAGAGCATGTCCTGGTGACGGCCGGGGAGGTTCACCTGCAGCGCTGCTTGGATGACCTCAGAGAGAGGTGTGTGTGTTCATCATGGCTCCTTTTCCTGCTTTGCCTCAGTAAAGCTCTCTCGTTACCTCGGTATCAGACCTGTTAGGGTCCAGGTCAGTTTTCTCAACCAACTACCAATTTTAGTCCATGAATCAAACACTGTCTACTTTGAAGTCAAGATTGAAAACTTTTTAAAGCTTATAGTTAGAGTTGCTCAGGTTATCATATCTATAGCTATACTGCTATAGGCGTAGACTGCTGGAGGACATAGGGACCCCTTTTTCATCATTCTGCTTCATTCTATCTCTATCCTCCCATTCTGAGTAAACCATCAGCTGTCATGTTGGACTGAGAGTTACAGTGAGAAAAATAAGTATTTAACACCCAGCTTTTTTGTAAGTTCTCCAATTTAGAAATCATTGAGGGTCTGAAATTGTCATCATAGGTGCATATCCACTGTGAGAGACACAATCTATAAAAAAAATCTAGAAATTACAATATAAGATTTTTTAACTATTAATTTGTATGATCCAGTATAAGTATTTGAACAGCTGTCTATCAGCTGGAATTCTGACCCTCAAAGAGCTTTTAGTCTTCCTTCAAAATGTCCACCTCCACTGCATTTATTCTCCTAAATTAGATGCACCTGTTTTAGGTCTTTGGCTGCATTAAGACACCTGTCCATCCCATACGATCAGTAAGAATCCAACTACTAACATGGCCAAGACCAAAGAGCTATCCAATGAGACTGGAGGCAAAATTGTTCACCTCCACAAGGCTGGAAAGGTGTTTTTTGAAGTAGAGAACAACAACCTGCCAGTTTGGTATATAGACAATTTCCTGATTCACATATTTTATAAAACACCTGAACTGATCGTTTGTTATTTTTCTTTCTTTTTTCTGTCTTAATGAGAGAAGTAGGATTTAGGCTGCCCTGCAAGGCTTTAAACCTGGGTTTGGATGGCCAAAATCCCTGCTGTAGTGTGTGCAGACTATGGATGGAACGGTTTATGAAAACCATCCGAACCGTTTGGTTCGACTGTCTCGGTTTGGTTTGCGTGCGTTGCGTTCGGTTCACGCGCTGCTCCTTTTTCTCATAGGTGAAGCGTTTACACTCCAGAGCCGAAGGTGGCGGTACTGCGACCACAGCCAACCACCAGTAGTAAACAAGAAGAAGAAGAAGCGAAGCAGCGTAGCCGGGTGTAGCAGAAAAAAATCAGTTGTTGTGGAGAATTGTGTGGGTATGGCGAGTGGGAAAGAACATGAGTTTGAAGACGCGCCAGCAGCACTTTATTGGTCTGCTGTATGGGATTACTTTGCATTTAGAGTGACCTACGATGACGGCCGAAAGAAAGTTGTGGATAAAAGTGCAACAGTGTGCAAGCATTGTGCAACACGTTTTGTTTATGCTAACAGCAACATGACTAACATGTCAGGCTAACCCCGAAATCCCGCATACTCCGTCAGCGCTCCGCTCCGCCCCGCTGCGCTCCAGACCGCCTGCACAAAGCAAAGCCTACAGCCTCCGCTGTGGCTCCCGTCCGCTCCCCTCTGAGTTCCTTGGAGATCGTAGAGGGCATGCGCCAGATGATTAAATTCAAAGCAGCAAAACATACGAAATGATCCATGGTTTCTGCGAATCATTAAAAATAATTACATTTCATTAATTTTTATGGGATTTCGGGGTAACAATAAACATATACTGACCCGAATCAAACCACGGATTTTGTGAACCGTTTCACCACTAATGCAGACCTGGTGAAAAACTACAGCAAACGTTTGAGCTATAGATATATGATTTCTGTAAAAGGCCTAGTCAAAGCCCAGGCTGAGACCACATTTGCTTAATAGTGTCTGTTGAACAAATTGAAACAATAGAGAAAGAAATATTTACTTTAAAGGTAACAATGTCTTTTAAACTAGACTGGGGTTCTAACACTACTTCTCCTGCTTGGATCTACAGATTTGCCAAAATTGACATTAGCGTGTCCAAGCCCATCATCCCGTTCAGGGAGACGGTGGTCCGGCCCCCGAAGGTGGACATGGTGAACGAGGATCTGGGCAGGCAGCAGAAAGTGGCTGTCATTCATCAGGTGGGTCTGCTGTGAACAGCCTGGACCTTTGGCCCCAGTGTTGAAGATGGAGCTTGGTGGTTCTTAGAAAGTTCTCTAGAACATTCCTTTCCCTCATGGCCCCAACAGAAGAACCACCTGAAGTCTAATTAGATGTATAAATCCCTCATCTTTCAGTGAATTTCGCCATTTGATTCTCAAGTTGGTCGCCTGTGTGAACAGTGGAGAACTGATTGATTTAGGGGGTTGTAGGTGTTATAGTTATTCCAGAAAAAGTTTAATTTTGACTTTGGTTACAGGAGAAACGTGGCTCTGATAGTGAGCTGAGAAGGTTAGGGCGCCTGAAGCAATAAGACAACTAGGAGGTGATTTGAATGCCTGGACTTGAGCTGACTTTAGTTTCTTTGCAGGCCTGTCACAGTCTCATGGCGTTATACACACAGCGCTTTATTTAAAAAAAATAGAAATATTAAAAATATAACCGTGGATGTATGGGGGACAGTGATTGGCCTCCATGTTCTGAATGCTGGCGTACCATAAAGAATAAATGATGAACAGTTTAGTTTGTGCCTTCAAGTCGTTGCCCATAGGAAGATGTTACTTGGATATAACCTAACGGAATATCTTCAGAACGGCTCCAAATGACACTAAACTCATATGGGTGAGTAGAACATGATGGAATAACGGAAAATCAAGGGACCAATGTAAAAAAAGAAAAAAAAATTGCTTTCCCCTTTAAGTGGGATACACCACGCTTAAAAATGTCCAAAACCCTCGAGGTTCAGAGACTCTCCCACCACAGTCTCCTGAAATCCTGTGGGAACCACTGGAACCACTAGTAAACCTGCAGATTGAGAGCGAAGTGCTCTGTTAGGAACATAAGGAACAATCAGATCTCTGATATCAGATGGAGCTTGGCCATTTAAGGCTTTATATGTGAGAAGGAGAATTTTAAATTCTATTCTGGATTTAAGAGGAAGCCAATGAAGAGAAGCCAGGATAGGAGAGATATGATCTCTCTTTTTCATTTTCATCAGAACTCTGACTGCAGCATTTTGGATCAGCTGAAGGCTTTTAACTACAGCTTGTGGACTTCTTGATAGTAAAGAATTACAATAGTCCAGCCTTGAAGTAACAAATGCATGGACTAGTTTCTCAGCATCACCCCTGGACAGGAGATTTCTCATTTTTGCAATGTTCCTCAGATAAAAGAAGGAAATTCTAGAAACCTCTTTGATATGGGATTTAAATGACAGGTCCTGATCTAAAACAACACCAAGATTTTTTACTTTATTATCTGAAATCAGTTTAATCCCATCCAAATGAAGTGACTGGCTAATCAGCTTATTTTTCAGAGACTCTGGTCCAAAGACTATAACTTCTGTTTTGTCTGCATTCAGAAGCAGAAAGTTAAGAGTCATCCAGGTTTGTATGTCTTCAGACATGCCTGTAATCTATGTAATGGGTTAGCTTCATCTGGATTATAGACAGATATAGCTGGTTATCATCAGCATAACAGTGGAAGTGGATTTATCATCAACATAACAAAACTGAAATCGGTCACATAGATACAATTTAAAACAAACTAACGCTGTTCCTTTAATTCCAACAAAATATTCAAGTCTTTCTAAAAGAATATTATGATCAACTGTATCAAATGCAACACTGAGATCCAACAAGATACAAGTCCATTATCTGAGGCCATGAGAATATCATTAGTGACTTTCACCAGAGCTGTTTCAGTGCTATGATGAGCTCTAAAGCCAGACTGAAACTCTTCAAATCATCATTATTGTCTAAGTGATTTTCTTGTATCTAAAAATCAACTCTTCTGGATTTTTACAGCCAGTGGACATAGTTTTATGCCGACAGCTCTGCAGAAGCAGAAATACCTGCTTGCATGCAGCATCTGTCTCCAAGATGCTCCCGGATGAGCTTCTTTGATTGTTTTGTTTTTTTGATAGCTGCAAAATTAGAAATTTTCCAACTAGAGACATATAATATGCATCAAGCTAAACATGCTTAACGGTTCAAAAGGTGCAAGACCTTTTGAAGCCCCTAAAGGGTAGACTTTCTTAAACCTTGGGGTCTACTCTCACATTCACCTGTTTTCATGCCTTATCAATGTTTTTGTTCTTTTCTAGGTAAAAGAAGAACGTTCATCTGAGTCCCAGCAGATGGACTCTAATAGACTCGTCACCGTCACCACTCCCAACAAACTGGCGACTGTGGGCGTGCGGGCAGTCTCATTACCACAGGGTAATACGCCCAGAGTATCTGGACTGCTTTAGCTGAATAAAGCAGAAATTCAGAGAGGAAATCAGAAAGTAGGACAGTGATGTGTTTGGTACCTTGTTAAGGTTGACTTCAGATCCACTTGTCTTTCTTTACAGAGGTGACGGTTCTTCTGGAGAAGAGCTCAGATGTAATCCGGACTCTGGAGCTGATCAACATGTCCTTCAGGGAGGGGAAAGCTCTGGACATAAATCTCAGGACTATGGAGGCCATAAAAGAGCTGAAGGACCAGCTGGAAAGCTTGCTGCAAGGAAGGAAGTGGCGGAGTGCTGTGGACCGGATCTGGGCTTTTGGGCCCCGCAGGTCAGAGAATGCTCTGTGTTTTCAGCTAGAAGCCTTTTCCTTTATGGGTAGGACTTCATGTTGGTGGTCTCTGTTGTTAGGTCCGGTCCAAACATACTCCTGAACAGCATTAAGGACTACAGCCGAGCGTCGATATGGCAGTGTCTGGAAAGCAGGCAAGGCAGTGACCCCACCAGAACTCAGCTTCCTCCACTGCGGGACTTTGATAACAGCATCGTCAGCGGCTTCCAGCTGGCAACGCTCTCCGGTCCCATGTGCGAGGAGCCCCTGATGGGTGTTTGCTTCTCGGTGGAGAGGTGGGATGTCCAGTCCTCAGCTTTATCGCTGCAGCCAGAATCTTTGAAGGACTCTGTTCCCAATGGAGCTGATAGAGATGTCGATGGGGATATGACAGCAGGCTGTCCTCTGGCTGAGCGGAGGATAGAGGCTCCGTCTGCGGACTGCTACGGGCCGGTGTCTGGCCAGCTGATCGCCGCCATGAAGGATGCCTGCCGCCATGCTTTCCAGGCTCAGCCCCAGAGGCTCATGGTGGCCATGTACACCTGTGAGATCATGGCGACCGCTGAGGTCCTTGGTAAGAGCGAACACTGCACTAGTATCTCCAAGATGTGGCGGCCTGCTTGATGAGGACATTATTTTTTGTGTATGTCCTTCCTTCTGTCCCTGTCTATTTCCTTCAGTCCTTGTCTCCTTCACTCTCTTCTTCTGTCCTCGTCTCCTTTCCTCGCTCCTTCTGTCCTTGTCTTCTTCCCTGTCTCCATCTGTCCTTGTCTCTTTCTTACTCTCCTCCGTTCGTTGTCGCCTTTCCTCGCTCCTTCTGTCCTTGTCTCCTTTCCTCGCTCCTTCTGTCCTTGTCTTCTTCACTCTCTTCTTCTGTCCTTGTCTCTTTACTATTCTTGTCCATCCTTGTCTCCTTCCCTCTCTCCATCTGTCCTCGTCTCCTTTCCTCGCTCCTTCTGTCCTTGTCTTCTTCCCTGTCTCCATCTGTCCTTGTCTCTTTCTTACTCTCCTCCGTTCGTTGTCGCCTTTCCTCGCTCCTTCTGTCCTTGTCTCCTTTCCTCTGTCCTTCTTTTCAAGTTTTTTTTTTATATTCTCCTTCTGTCCTTGTCTCCTTCCCTGTCTCTTTCTGTCCTTCCTATGTTCCTTTTTTCTTTCCTACTCTCCTTCTGTCCTTGTCTCTTTCTTACTGTCCTCCTGTCCTTGTCGCCTTTCCTCGCTCCTTCTGCCCTTGTCTCCTTTCCTCTCTCCTTCTGTCCTTCCTATGTTCCTTTTTTCTTTCCTACTCTCCTTCTTTACTTGTCTCCTACCTACCCTAACTCCCAGTTCTCCCAGAGGGATGTGTTGCATAGAAAGGACACATTCTGATTTTAAACATTAGATCAGGTCAAAGCTGTAATTATCCTTCATCTGTTTTAGGAACATTTGATGATGAAGCGTATTTACAGGGAGATCTGGTTGTCCTGACCTGTGCTTCTCCTCCTCCAGGCCGGGTCTACGGAGTGCTGGGAAAGCGCGAGGGTCGGGTTCTACATGAGGAGATGAAGGAGGGGACGGATATGTTCATCATCACAGCTGTTCTTCCTGTCGCTGAGAGCTTTGGCTTTGCTGATGAGATCCGCAAGAGAACCAGCGGGTTGGCCAGTCCACAGCTGGTTTTCAGCCACTGGGAGGTAACCTCTGTCTCCTTTCTGTTGTCCAAAGCCTGAATACTTCTGTCTGCTTCACTGTAGACTTTATAATCATCTCTACAAAGAGTGCCAACAGAAAGTATTCACATCCCTTCCTTTGCTTATGCTGTGATCTCAGAATCATTTTAAAACTAATTAAATGGGTAAATTAGCACTTTAGTTTCCAAATGAAAACAGGCTTTTAGAGATTTTCCACTCCTGATGATTCTAACATTGACCATGGTGCAGAGGAAGGAGCTCAGGGGAAGCTGGTCTCTCAGTAAGGTTATTACTTCATCTTGGTTAGAGGGCCTCTGTGGGACATCTGGGGGACTGGTCCTAATCTATAAAATGTCTAAAAGATTAGAGCAGAACCAAGGGGACCAGGTTGTGTCCAGGATGCTAATTGTGCGTTCACACAGAACGTGATCTGGTCGTTAAAAACGCTTAAACGCTGAAATTTGAACACTGTATCAAACTGTGGTCAAGTTGCTTTGTCGCTCTGGGTGTTTATATGCTCTGTTCTGTAGCTTCAAGCTACAGAGCAGCTTGGCTTTATTGACTTTATAAGTTGGAAAATTGTTTTAAAGGTACAGTAGGAGATCTTTTCTGACACATTTTTTACCATGTGGCTTGAAGATCTCCCCACAGCCGCTTAGCAAGCAGTGAAATAGAAGGTCTGAAACTGAAATATATGGTCCCCGTTACAGTGAGAAATCAATGAGTAACGTCAACCAATCACAAACTATGGTCAGTTGTACACTGTTGGTTCCTGACACGTTTATCATGGTCGTCTGCTTGTCCCTCCCCCTGTGTGCGTACCCTGACACATGAACGAATCGACCCCCCCGAATGCTCGTGCAGGACGCCATGGCTGACGTGTCATCGGCAGCTGGTAGCAACATCGTTCTTTCTGACCAGTCGTCTAATATCGCATAGGTGTCCAGAGTGCGGCCGCCATGGTACAGGAACACTGGGACCACTTTCAGCAGCACCCTGCTGCTTTCAGCTGGCAGATCAAGGTACAACACCTCAGTGGAGGTTGTGCTGCCACCTTGAGGTGGCACAGTTGCTTGGGTGGGACTTCTCTAAGTCACTGTATTGAATTTGTGTAGTTCCTGTAGGTGTTGACCTTGACACAGATTACAGTTCTTCTTTAAGGTGCACTGCGCCGCCTGGTGTGAGCGCGCACAGCGCCAACATCTCTTGTTAGTCTTAATCCACTCAGTTAGCTGCTCTTTGTTTAGCTTACTGATGGCCATGCACTGATTCAGGTGGTGTTCTCGGTTGTCACAGAATGCACAGTAGGGTGCTGGCTTGACCTTGCCTTTACTGTCACTTGTAGGTTTGACCTCCCTAGGTGTACTGTTCAGAGACTCATTAAGTAGTGCTTTGCTTTATAGAATGCATTGGTGTTTTAAAAAAAAAAATTTTATTTAACTCTTCAGAATATTTCCAAGTCAAATGTGGGTAACTGTTTTAATGTGTGTATGGTACAGAGACAGAAGTCAAGGAAATCTGCACAGATCTGCTCACCCTGCCTAGTTAGAGCCTCTCTATAAGCAGTCAGTGTGACGTGGAAAAAAATTGGATTAGAGATTAATTAGTCGTACCAACCGGTGTGTTCAGGCCTTTAGATACTGTTCTGTAAATTAGGCCCACAATGTCTTCTTAGTTAGGCCCTCCAGCTTCCTTCAACTTATTTTCATACCAAGTACTACTTACCGTATTTTCACGACCATAAGGCGCACCGTACTAAAAGGCGCACTCTCAGTTATGTGTCCCATTTCTGTATTTAACACACACATAAGGCGCACCGGACTATAGGGTGCGTTTTTTATATACAGGTACATGTCCTCTACTACATTTAAATACCTCTACTGCGTATTTAAAAATACAGCGGGGGCAAAACTGAGTATGACTGTGCTTTATTCATGTATTTATTACAAAGTATTAATCAAACCTGGGAGCTGGCAGTGAGACAGACACATCGCAGATGACACAGCGCTGTGATCACTCCTAAATTAACTTAAAATCCTGAAACCTGCCGACGGAATATGTTTGCTTTTATTGCCGGTATCCTGGTGCCTGCAGTTTAAATTATTTAGATGAAAAACACCTGCCAGCCACCGCGTGAACCCGGAGGCTGCCCAGCCTAGAGGCTGCTGTTGCAGGGATTTCTACTGTCGGTGTACCGCTGGTATGTGGGGGTCTGAGCGCCTCCGACAGAAATAGATAATCTGGATGAACTGACTGCAATTATTAAGTTTTCAGGTGGACTTTCTCACTTAAAAACATATTAAAACTACTTTATTCCCACTGATCACAGCAAATATAGCTGCAAGATTTAGATTATTTAGATGAAAAAACACCTGCCAGCCACCGCGGTATACGCGGAGGAGACCGGGCCCAGAGGCTGCTGTTGAATTAAGTTTTCAGGTAGAAAAATAGAGCGGGTGCAAAACTGAGTATGATTGTGCTTTATTCATGTATTTATTACAAAGTATTAATCAAACCCATCAAAGTCATCATCCTCTGTTTCTGAATTAAACAGCTGCGCTAAATCAGACATGCCAGTTTCCCCTTCTTCGCTGTCAGAGTCACTTTCCGTGCAGCGCGGCTCCTCAGAAATAATGCCGGCTTTTGCGAAAGCTGGAACAACAGAGCCAGCAGACACGTTAGTCCAAGCATCTACAATCCATCCGCAAACGGTGGCGTAACTTGCCCGGCGCTGCCTTCCACTTATCCTGAAACTGTGCTCTCCGTCTGTCATCCATCGCTCCCACGCCGCTCGCAGCCTTACTTTGAATGGCCGCTTCACACCGATGTCGAGCGGTTGAAGTTCCTTTGTCAGACCTCCCGGGATAACGGCGAGCACAGCGTTCATTTGATTCACCTTTTTTTTTTCACATCGGCTGTGAGATGGGCACGCAGCGATGGTGATGCGTGGAAAAAAACACCTGGTCTCCTCACATACCCCTGCCTCAGCCACGCTTTCATCATCTCCTCATCCATCCAGCCTTTTTCATTTGCTTTAATATCATATGTCATCAGAGCGCTGTGTCTGTCTCGCTGTCAGCTCCCAGATCAGCTTCTCTGATTGGTTGATGCGGCGCGTCCAGCAGCAAAACTTCAATTTTTCCATCTCGAGCAGCAGCAGCGCGTTGGCAGATGCTTAAACGCTCCCGACGCGCTGCGCCTGCTGCTCAAAATGCGCTGCGGGACCTTTTGCTGCACCTATACGCTCGTTAATCATTGACTTTGCATGTAAACTCGCTGCTTCTGCTGCACCTGCTGGGTCCGGTTCACACCGATGTCGAGCGGTTGAACAGCGAGCACAGCGTTAATTTGTTTCCCCATGTTTTTCACATCAGCTGTGAGATGGGCACGCGATGGTGATGAGTGGAAAAAAAACACCTGGTCTCCTTACATTCAGCCACTCTTTCATCATCTCCTCAATGAGGTGGTCTCAAAAGTCGCAGTTACAACACACATAGGGCCCACCGCACCAAAGGGCGCACCGCACATTTTGAGGGAAAAAAAGGACGTTTAAGTGCGGCTTATAGTCGTGAAAATACGGTACATACTTTCAGTTCAATAAATCAGGAAGATCTTCAGAATCTGCCTGCCAGCTCAGCCTGTGTGTGATACAGACCCTCGCTTACATTCTTTGATTTCCATTAATTTGCAAACCTCAAACCTGTTCCTGAGCTCCTCCTCTGATCAGAAATGCAAATGATTGGAACTTCACCAGAGAGACCAGGGTTCCTGCAGATCCTTAAAAAGTCTTAAAAGCTATTGAATTGTCCAATATGAAACTAAGGCCTTCATTGGCATTAAACTGTCTTAAATCAGTCTTTCACTTATCTTAGAATTGTTACCACATCATAAATAGGATTTTTTTTAGGCCATATCAAACATTGAAATAATTGACAATATATATTTATTTTACATTTTTGTGAATTTAGTTCAGTAGTTGTTAAAAATAGATCTGTTATTTGTCTATTTTTAGTTTTCTTCCACTTTGGAAAGTTATTCGCAATCTGAAATATTTCTACTTTTTGATAAATTTGTCGCTACCATTTTTTATTTTATTTTTTTGTGTTTATTGTGTCGGTCTTAACTTTTTATTTTAAGTGGAATTAAAAGGTCTTAGAACATCTTGAATTGAACTTTTCTTATGCTGTTGAAACCCTGCTGTGCATTAGGAAATTTAAATAAAGTTATGAGGACATCAGGATCATCCTTGGTAGATTTGACATTGAATTATCATTGTGTGTTTCAAGCTTTTTTGGATCTGATGGTAGATCTCTCCTTGTAGAACATTTTTAAGAAGTTTTGGATCTTGCCAGATTCCATAAATAAAGTGGTGTTTGTTTACCTGTTTTGAATCTGATTGGGGATCAAGTTGACATGATGACTCTGTTTGTAAACTAGGTGATCAACAGCGATCCGTACTGGGTTCCCACCACAGAAGAAGAATACCTGCACTTCGGGGAGAAGGCAGACTCTGAGAACCAGGCCCTCAAATATATGAATGCTGTCCGCCGGCGGAAAGGTCTCTACATTGAGGAGAAGATTGTGGAGCATGCAGAGAAACAGAGGACGCTGGGCAAGAACAAGTAGAAGAGAGAGCTTTGTGTCCCTCTGACAATACTGACCTGTGCATCTGTGGGGGACAACCCTCTGTAATGAGATTCTGGCATTTATTAAGGCACGAGCTTTGGATGATGTTCAGTAATTTAGAGTAAAGTCTATTGATTTTCACTGAGGGTGGATTTAGAGCAGCTTTTTATTCTCTTGAGATAAACAAGTAAAAATACCAAAGAATGGTGTTTGCCTCGTTCATCACAATATGTCAACACTGTCAGCAGCATGTTTGTCTTTCTACTCTGAGTCATAATAATGTTTTATCATTGACCAAATGAGTTGTCCTCTGGAACCATGTGACTCTTGGTAGTTATTATATACATTTATGTATTTTTCTACAATTATTTAAAAAAAATCCACATATTTCATCAGTCTGATAATTTTGCTTTTCGTTTAAACTAAATGTATAATTGATTGGCCAAATAAAATTGTAACAATCGTCTCAGAAGTTTTATTTTCTTGGTAGCCGAAATCCTCTGTCACATAATTCCATCAGAAGTTAGTACTCGATTGGATCAGTGTTGTTTTCATCTATAGCGCAGTCATTGGGATGTCATTCAGACTAGAGAAGTTTGGTTGGATGGTGACAAATGCCCAGTCCCAGCTCCCTCACTTGGTTCCTAGAACACTCCAGTGAGTTCCCTCCACAGTAAAGCACACTCGATGAGGGAAGCGCAAGTGGAGATTTTCTCCCTAGGAAATGGGCCGCCACAATTTGTAAAATGACATCCAAGCCCATTAGATGGCGGTAATAGCCTGTACACTAACATCAATGTGTTCACCTACATCATGTGTAAACACAACTGAGGTTAATGACCACGTAAACCTGACCGAGGATGATTACGAGCATGTGAGTCACCAACCTCGTTTTAGAGTTCAGTCTGTGCCCAGAAGAAGAAGGGGAATCAGCCAGATGGCTGCAAATGCTGCCCATGGAGTTCTAGGAGCTGATGCCTAGAAGGATGCTGAACTTGCTGATGAGCATATCCAAGCAGACGAAGGAAGGCAGGAGGTCTGAAGACCAGAAGATCAGAGGTCTGAAGAGGTTACAAAGGGAAATCCAGGACGGTGTCAGGGAAGTGGTTCCAGGTTCTGAACACAGATTAGCATAAATCCAGCAGGAGTCCGGGAGCAGGTCAGGCAAACGCATCAGAACGGGCTCAGGCAGGCATAGAGGTCCATATGCCGCGCTCAACAGCTTAGTTCGTAGGTCTTTACTGCTAATTCTATAAACTAGCTGTTCCCTGAGCTGCTCATCCAAATTATCACAGAACTCACATGTTGCAAGTCCTTTTAGCACAGCGTCATATTCAGCTACAGTCTCTCCATTTTGCTGCTTTCAAACACTGAATGAGTAACGTTCAATTAACACACTTTTCTTTGGCACATAGAATTCCCTCAGTGCTTTTAACAAGTCTTCTAATGTGCATTCATACAGCTTTTTCGGTGCTAGCAAGTCTGTAATTAATGATAAAGTCTTTGCACCGACCATGAATAAGACAAAAGCCCTTTGTTTCCCATGATCAATTCCGTTGGCTTCCACAAACCTAGTAAATCTTTGCTCACACATCTTGAAACTTTCATTGCTTTCGTCAAAGCACAAGCCCGTTTCACTGTTGATACTGCCATCGTTGTGCTAGCTTCTTCTGCTTCCAAAGTCGTGGTTAACTATTCCACACCTCATCACCAGTATGTTGTGTCCGAGTGAGGTCACGCATACAAAAAGATGGAGGCGGAGCTTAAGCTGTTGAACATTCCACTTGTTATTAAACTACTGCATAATAAAACAGGTAGGCTGTCTGTGTAGTTGCAGTACAGCATCATTCAATGTGGGAGCTTACCTTATTTCCCCCCCCATCTAAACACATGGCATTATGGGAAGTGAAGTCCGTATACACTCTAAAACCATACACAACAGTCATCAGTGCCGATGTAAGCAGCTACGGCTTAGGGGCAGCTCTACCACCAGAACATGAAGATGGCTTAAAGCCAGTAGCATTCTGCTCCAGCAGGCTGTCGGATGCAGAGAGAAGATACTCTCAACTCGAGAAAGGGTGCTTGACAAGTGTGTGTGCGTGTGAATGATTTGCACGCTACATTCAGGAAATGGACATGTACCTTCTGCAAACAAATCATAAACCAGAAATGCCAATCATAGATACACTGTGTGCAGAATAATTAGACAAATGAGTATTTCGATCTCATCATCCTTTTCATACATGTTGTCCTACTCCAAGCTGTATAGCCTTGAAAGCCAACTACCAATTAAGTAAATCAGGTGGTGTGCATCACTGTAATGCGAAGGGGTGTTATGATTCCATAGGTCCTTTATATTCCCATCGATCTGGGAATTTATGTTTCTGATACTTTAAGATGTCTATTGCCCTCCCCTGTAGGGGTGGTAAAATATCTTATTTAATCAGATATTATTTCAGCTGTTATATACTGTTAATGACACACAGTCCTACTAACTGTGTGTTAGAACGATATATTATTCTTATACATTTTTCTAAGGTCCACATTTGTGTGACCATTTTCAATAATCTATTTGCTGCTGTAAATTTGCCCATTGTGGGACAATAAAGGGATTTTTCAATTCTATAAAAGGGTAGAAAGATAGAAGTAAATCTAAACAATGTATGTATATGAAATATATCTGCAAAATCACTCATATTCAACAACAAAAAATACTTAGTTAAGCATATTGTGCAAAACAGCAATAAAAGATTAAAATCCTATCAGATTTATAGTTCCCACTCTGCAGATCTATTAGAATCTGTCCTTAAATTCCAGCCAAACCCATTTATACAGTAACAGATAAAAACCTTTAGATAAATCAAACATTACTGCCACATATCTGACTCAATAATCATTAAAACAACTATTTTCATTAATCTCAGACGGAACTATTCACTGACTTGAATTATATTAAACTGAACTTCCAATTTTCACCACTGTTCGGCGCCAAGTAACCTTTCCTCTGATCACGGCTTACGGGGAGGAATTGAACTTTACAAAAACAATAAGACAAAATAAAATGAATTCAGTTGTTATATTTAATATTTCCACACTGTATAAATATACATTTATGAATTTTATATCAATCTTGGTCTTATTTTATTTATTTATTCTTTTAAGTTAAAAAGTAAAAAAAAAAAATGAATAAATAAATAAAATGAAAAGGGAAAAATGAAAAGCCCTGGGAAACAAGACAAGGTAAACGCTCTGTTCTCTGTCTTGGTTTTCAGAAACATGATAAACTGCCCCAAAAGAGTTCAGAATGAAATCCCTCAAAGCTCTTTTGAGAAAATGAGAAATCGTCTCTCCAATCTGATAATGTGTACAAAAGAGCCTTGTGTGGATATGATTCTAAAGGCGAATCTATCAGACATAGTAACTGCAGTTTCTCAGGACTTGTATAAAATATTTGGCTCAACTAAACATTTGCTTCAGGCCGCCATGGCGCGGAACAACACTTTTGATTCCTCTCTTATCAAAAGTCTGGAAAAAGACCTGGGACTCAAAAGCACAAAACAAGTGAATGCGTTCGATTTTATCAACCCGATGAAGGAGCCTCCGAACCCCAACGCTGTTTTTCTGGCTCTACTAATTAGAAATGTGATAAACAGCTCCAAGACAGCGGGCAAGTCCCTCCCATCAGGTGCTCTTCAAACCATAGTAGAACGTCTGTTCTACTATGGTTTCTACCAGCTAATAGCTTTCTGCCGCGATAAAACCAAATCTCACCCTCAGCCGCAGATCCAACAGCTGGAATTGGTTGTCAAAAGGATTTCCAAGGACATCTTTAATGAATATGGAAGTATTCTAAAATTTATGAACGCAGGCCTGAATTTAAACACATCATTTGATGTTTTATTACTGGATTATCTTAAAACCAGCATAAAAATAAAAGAACCCCGAAAAAACAGGATAGTCTCTGCCATCGACAGCGCCTTGGAAAAAATCTCCAGAGATTTCCTTAACCTGCGTGCTCGGTGGCAGTGGGACTTCCTCCCAACCGTGGTTCAGAGAGAAAACACCACATTTGGGAACAACCAGGAAGTTAGTAACAAGACTTATGCCCCGTCCACACGAAGTCAAAACGAACACGAAACGCTGATATTTTCCAAAACGTTTGCCGTAAAGACGGAGACGTAAAATAAATGTGAGCGTCCACACGAATGCTTGAAAACGCTGCAAAATGTATGCCAGGCCTGTAAGTGGCGCTGTGGTGCCAAAGCAAAAATAAGCGACGAAATGTTGGGCATCCGCACTAATATTTATACATGGTTGCCCTGCGGTTCCATTTTCGTGGTTAAGTCAAATTCAGGTGCTGAACTATGTCGTCGATATTGCTCTGTTCTTCCTGGAAATATTCCAGAAGAAGAAGATTCTGTTGTAAGCCCGACAGCAGGGTGAGTAGCATTAGCAGCAACGGCGCCATTGTTGTTGTCATACTGGTCGCGCATGCGTGTTTAGAGGCGACGCTATGACGCATGCTTGTAAAAAAAAATATGCGGTTAGAGCGTAAAGATGGAAACGCGAAAACGGCGTTTCGAAATCTTCCCACTCTGAAGGCTGAATAAAAAAAAGATCGTTTACAGACCCCCGAAACGCCGGCTTCGTGTGGATGAGAGGCTGGTTTGGTGAAAAATTTGTGCGTTTAGGCCAGGGTTCGTCTTCGTGTGGACGGGGCATTAAACTGCTCGCCTTCTCTCACCTCGTCTCCCCTCTCCTCTCCCCCATCCCCTCCCCTCCGCATAGTCAAAAACCAATTTTTCCAATATTTTCATTTTACTTCATGTGCTGAATATGTATTTCTTCTTCTCTCTCTGCTTGTTTTTTACGGAGCCCGGGAGAGCTCACTTTAAGTGATATTTATTTTCAAGTCTTGATAATTTGTGAGCACGTTTCCTTTAATTGAGCCCTCGAATTAATAAAACATGACCACATTTTCATTTAATTGAGCACTCGAATTAATAAAACGTGAGCACGTTGTAGGCCTAAATCGCACTCACATTTAGTCATTTCCGACATGCTCTCACCGCTGCTCTCACAGCTGCTGCCTGTCGCAACTTCGTGTTACTCAAGCTGTTGAGATTCGGCTATTGTCTGTAACATTACAGTTCAACATTGGTAAGTGATACCGTGGTTAATTAAAGCCTTTTTAGTTTTCACCGGTAGGTGATGACTATAGCGAACTTCTACTCTTTGTAGCAGGGTCACCTGCGGTGTCCCACCAGCTATGGAGCTGACTGCTGATAGCCTGAGGGACTTCTTGAAAGATAGAGGTGTCAGTGAAGAGTTTATTCAGAAACTCGAAAACGAAAAGGTAGGCTATGTGATGTGGGCTGCAAGAAACCAACTTCGAAGGCCGTGAAGGAGCTTCTCCAGTTCCCAGATGTGATGACCGCAACACAGCATGCAGTTACTCGCCATCTGAAA